GCTCCTGTCGATTGCTCTGCTCTCGAATGCGTCCCTCCAGATTGTGCTGCTCCAGCAGAGTGTGAGCTCCTCTCAATTGTACTCCTCTCAATTGTGCTGCTCTCGATTGCGCTCCTTTCAATCGTTCTACTCTCTCTTGCAATCCTTTTGAATGCACTACTCTCTCTTGCCCTGCTCGTGATTGCGCTCCTCTCGATTGCGCTGCTGCAGCAGAGTGCTTGCTCCTGTTGCTTGCACTCCTCTTGATTGCGCTCCTGTCAATTGAGCTGCTGTTGATTGCACTTTTGTCGATTGCGCTCCTGTCAATTGCATTCGTCTTGATTGCACTCATGTCGATTGTGCTGCTCCAGCAGAGCAGGCGCTCCTGTCGATTGCGATCCTCTCTCTTGCGCTCGTGTTGATTGCGCTCCTCTCTCCTGCTCTACTTTCGATTGCGCTCCTGTTAATTGCACTCCTCTCTCTTGCGCTCCTCTTGATTGCGCTCCTCTTGTTTGACTCCTGTCGATTGCTCTGCTCTCCATTGCGCTCCTCTCTCCTGCTCTGCTCTCAATTGAGCTCCTGTCGATTGCGCTCCTGTCGATTGCTCTGCTCTCAATTGCGCTCCTGTCGATTGCACTCCTGTCGATTAACCTCCTGTCGATTGCTCTCCTGTCGATTGAGCTCCTGTTGATTGCACTCCTGTCGATTGAGCTCCTCTCTGCTGCTCTTCTCTTGATTGCGCTCCTCTCCATTACGCTCCTCTCCAATGTGCTCCTGTTGATTGTGCTCCTCTTGATAGAGTTCCTTTCGATTGCACTGCTCTTGATTGTTCTGCTCCAGCAGAGTGAGCACTCCTCTCGGATGCTCTGATCTCAGTTGCACTCCTGTCAATTGCGCTCCTCTTGATTGCCCTCTTTTCGATTGCGCTCCTCTCTCCTGCTCTACTTTCGATTGCGCTCCTGTTAATTGCACTCCTCTCTCTTGCGCTCCTCTTGATTGCGCTCCTCTTGTTTGACTCCTGTCGATTGCTCTGCTCTCCATTGCGCTCCTCTCTCCTGCTCTGCTCTCAATTGAGCTCCTGTCAATTGCGCTGCTGCAGCAGAGTGCTCGCTCCTGTTGCTTGCACTCCTCTTGATTGCGCTCCTCTTGATTGCGCTCCTCTTGATTGACTCCTGTCGATTGCTCTGCTCTCCATTGCGCTCCTCTCTCCTGCTCTGCTCTCAATTGAGCTCCTGTCGATTGCGCTCCTGTCGATTGCTCTGCTCTCAATTGCGCTCCTCTCTCTTGCTATGCTCTCTCTTGCACTCCTGTCGATTGCACTCCTGTCGATAGAGTTCCTGTCGATTGCTCTTCTCTTGATTGCGCTCCTGTCGATTGTGCTGCTCCAGCAGAGTGAGCGCTCCTCTCGATTGCGCTCCTCTCGATTGCGCTCCTCTTGATTGCGCTCCTCTCGATTGTGCGCATTGCAGCAGAGTGAGCTCTCCTCTCGAATGCTCTGATCTCAGTTGCGCTCCTGTCGATTGCGCTGCTCTCAATTGCGCTCCTCTCTCTTGCTCTGCTCTCTCTTGCACTCCTGTCGATTGCGCTCCTCTCTGCTGCTCATCTCTCGATTGCGCTCCTGTCGACTGTGCTTTTGTCGATTGCACTCCTCTTGATTGCGCTCCTGTCGATTGCGCTCCTGTTGATTGCGCTCCTGTCGATAGACCTCCTCTTGATTGCGCTCCTGTCGATTGCGCTCCTGTCGATTGCACTTCTGTCGATTGCGCTCCTCTTGATTGCGCTCCTCTTGATTGACTCCTGTCGATTGCTCTGCTCTCCATTGCACTCCTATCTCCTGCTCTTCTCTCGATTGCGCTCCTCTCTCGATTGCGCTCCTCTCTCCTGCTCTGCTCTCGATTGCGCTCCTGTCGATTGCGCTCCTGTCGATTGCGCTGCTACAGCAGAGTGAGCGCTCCTCTCTCTTGCACTCCTCTCTCTTGCGCTACTGTCGATTGCTCTCCTCTCTCCTGCTCTGCTCTCGATAGAGCTCCTGTCGATTGCACTCCTCTCTGCTGCTCTTCTCTCGATTGCACTCCTCTCTCTTGCGCTCCTGTCGGTAGAGCTCCTCTCTCCTGCGCTCCTGTCGATAGCTCTGCTCTCTTTGCTCTGCACTCGATTGCGCTGCTCCAGCAGAGTGTTAGCTGCTTCGAATTGCGCTCCTCTCGATTGCGCTCCTCTCGATTGCGCTCCTCTCGATTGCACTCGTCTTGATTGTGCTCCTGTCGATTGTGCTCCTGTTGATTGTGCTCCTGTCGATTGTGCTCCTGTCGAATGCGCTGCTCTCTCCTGCTCTGCTCTCGAGTGAGCTCCTGTCGATTGTGGCCCTCTTGGTTGCGCTCCTCTCGATTGCGCTGCTGCAGCAGAGTGAGCGCTCCTGTCGAATGCGCTCCTCTTGATGAGCTCCTGTCGATTGCGCTGCTCTCTCCTGTGCTCCTGTCGATTGCTCTGCTTTCGATTGCGCTACTGTCGATTGCTCTGCTTTCGATTGCGCTACTGTCGATTGCTGTTCTCTTGATAGCACTCCTCTTGATTGCGCTCTTCTTGATTGTGATCCTCTAGATTGCGCTCCTCTTGATTGGTCTCCTGTCGATTGCGCTGCTGCAGCAGAGTGAGCCCTCCTCTTGATTGAGCTCCTCTCATTTGCGCTGCTGCAGCAAAGTGAGTGCTCCTGTCGATTGAGCTCCACTCTCTAGCGCTCCTCTCCATTGCAATCCTGTTGATTGCGCTCCTATCGATTGTGCTCCTGTCGATAGACCTCCTCCATCCTGTGCTCCTGTTGATTGCTCTCCTGTCGATTGGGCTCTTGTTGATAGAGCTCCTCTCAGCTGCTCTGCTCTCTCCTGCGCTCCTGTCGATTGCGCTCCTGTCTCTTGCTCTGCTTTCGATTGCGCTGCTCTGAGTTGTGCTTCTGCGACAGAGTGTGCACTGTCAAGCAGTGTGCTCCTCTTAATTACGCTGTCCAGCAGTGCGCTGCTAGCTGTGAGGCACGAGGAAAACATCAGTCACATGTGGTGGATGTTAGATCAAAAAGGGGTTACATAACACAGGTCACATGCCAAAAAGGTTAGAACGAAACAATCATTTCAAAGTATCAGTAATGTGCGCAAAATACTAGATCGAAACAAAGAACACATATTTAACAAAAGGTGCGAAAATATGAGGTCGAAATAGAGGTCACAAAATGCTAGACACATCTCAAGAATGTTAGATTGAATCTGATGTCAAAAATAAATGTCGGTCAACGTGCTCCAAATGTTAGATCGGGTTTGAAATGACGGTTAGTCTTGTGCTCCTTCGACTTGTGCTCCTCCAGCAGAGTGAGTGCTGTCCAGCAGTGCGCTCCTCTTGATTGTGCTGCTCCAGCAAAGTGTGCACTGCTCTCGATCGAGCTCCTCTAGATTGTGCTGCTGCAGCAGAGTGAGCGCTCCAGTCGGTTGAGCTCCTGTCGATTGTGCTCTTGTCAAATGAGCTCCTGTCGATTGCTCTGCTCTCAATTGAGTTCCTGTCAATTGCGCTCCTGTCGATAGACCTCCTGTCGATTGCGCTCCTGTCGATTGCGCTCCTGTCGATTGTGCTGCTCTTGATTGAGCTCCACTCCATTGCACTCCTCTTAATTGCACTCCTCTTCATTGCGCTCCTGTCGATTGCACTCCTCTCTGCTGCTCGTCTCTCGATTGCGCTCCTGTCAATTGAGCTCTTCTGAAATGACCTCCTGTCGATTGCACTCCGCTCTGATGCTCTGCTCTCGATTGCACTCCTCACTCTTGCTCTGCTCTCGATTGCGCTCCTCTCTCTTGCGCTCCTGTCCAATGTGCTCCTCTTGATTGCGCTCCTTTCGATTGCGCTTCTATCGATTGCACTTCTGTCAATTGCGCTCTTGTCGATAGAGCTCCTCTCTCTTGCTCTGCTCTCGATTGCGCTCCTGTCGATTGCGCTTCTGTCAATTGCGCTCTTGTCGATAGAACTCTTCTCTCCTGCTCTGCGCTCGATTGCGCTCCTGTCAATTGAGCTCCTCATGATTGCCCTCCTCTTGATTGAGCTTCTGTAGAATGTGCTGCTCTTGATTGAACTCTTGTCGATCGAGCTCTTGTCGATTGCGCTGCTGCAGCAGTGTGAGTACTCTTTTCGATTGCGCTCCTCTCTCTTGCTCTGCTCTCGATTGCGCTCCTGTCGATTGTGCTGCTCCAGCAGAGTGAGCGCTCCTCTCGATTGCGCTCCTCTCAATTGCGCTCCTCTCAATTGTGCTGCTCCGACAGAGTGTGCGCTGTCCAGCAGTTTGCTGATGAGATTGCGCTTCTCAGATTGCGTTGCTCCAGCTGTGCGTTGCTCTTGAGCTGTGTGTTGCTCTTGAGCTGTGCGTTGCTCTCGAACAGTGCGTTGCTCTCGAGCTGTGCGCTGCTCAGATTGCGTTGCTCCAGCAGAGTGTGCGTTGCTCCAGCTGTGAGTGCGTTGCTCCAGCTGTGCGTTGCTCAATTTGCGCTGCTCCAGCAAAAATAAATTTGTTTGCGTTGCGGCACTTGAGCAGTGTAAATTTCGAGTGCGTTGGGGGTCAACGCAGTCGCGTGAATTTCGAATTTGGCGGAGCGCAATTGTGCGTTGCCTGCAAGCAAGACACACCGGCTAGGGCTAGGGTTAGCTAAGTTGTCTGCAAATCCCTCTGCTCATCACGGGTGGCGATGATCTCGTGAGCGATCGTGACTTTGGTGGATGAAAGGGCCGTCCCTCCCCCTCAGCCGCACAAGCAAGACGGATTCATTTGTAGATTCTTGAATCGATCGTGTCTACCGACGCATATGCTAAGCTCACGAAAGTCAAGCGCTGATACAAGAAAGCAGCTATCCGACAGTACGTTGTGATTGCAAGTCTAGAAATACAGATGTGATAATTTTTCCGGCGATAATGTCGAGTGGATGTGAATGCGATGTGGAGAAGTGACAGAGTGATTGCGCTTGAAAGAGAGACGGACTGCTTCGAAGGGAAGCTCAGTCTTTAGGCGGAGGAAGAGGCCTTGTGTTGGCAAGAGGCGAGACGAACGGCGACGACGATCTGGTGCGCTGAATCTGCGCCTGAGTGGTCTGCAGTCGGCTCTGTGTCTCGTTGAGCTCGTTGAGGATCTCGACCTTCTGATGGGTGCCGATGTTGCGCTCTGCATCTAGTCTGTCGAGCAGCTTTGTATAGGCTTGATTGGCTTCACGTAGCTGTGTCTCCAGGTCAGCTGCCCTTTCGGCGCGCTGGCGGATCAAGGCCGTGTTCGACAGCTGCTTTTCAAGATCGCGGACACGAGAGACAAGCTGAGGTACGTCCATGCCGAGCGTGATGGTGCGCTTGATCATTCCATTGGGCTTGGTCTTGGATGATAGTGAAGGATCTGCGCCAGCACGCTGGGCCGACGAGGAAGACTGAGAAGTGCCTGTGAGACTGGCCGCTGACCTAGGCAATCCGAGGTGAGTCGAGTTAGGACTGTTGCTCGATCGCAGCGACATGAAGTCCGACGCGTCCATGTTCGTCGAGCTCTCTGAGAGTGACACATTGCCTGCACCGGCTTCAGCGCCCAAGCTGCGTGACTCCAGATACATCCTCTGAGGAGACCTCGCACCAAAATTGGGGGCTGCAAACGGCGGGATGTAGCGGATCGATGGCGAAGAGTGTACGCTGATGTTGGATCTGGTGGGTGACGGCATTCCATCGAAAACTGAAGGTGAACGAGGCGGTGCCAACGCGGCGCCACCTGCGGTGCAAGCGGCCGCAGATATGGGGGTTGGCTTCTCGCCTAAGCGCGTTATCATCGACCTGTTCGAGCCTGTCCCGCCAAGACTCCCTGGTACGCCAAAGAACTTCGACACGCCCACCGTGGCTGGAGAAGTCGACAGACCGAGCATCGATTCATTCCCTGGCGTCAGCCCGTACGGCGACGAGGGCACACGTCCAATGGCGCGAGCTTCCTCGAGCTCTCCTCGAACCTCTGCCAACTCTACCTTAAGATGCTTTTCCCGATCCGCCTGCTCCTTGACCTTGGCTGTCAGCGACGTGATCCTAGTAAGAAGCGCTTGCTGCGACGACAGAGCGTCTGCCTGTGCCTGAACAGTGGCCTCCTTCTTATCTCCGCTCTGAGGCTGGGCACGATTCTCCTTGTCTACCTCAGACACGAGAGCCAAGTCGATGACTGTGCGGCTGATAGCCAGGGTGCTACGAATACGCTCAGCCGTAGCTTCCAACTCTGCTTGCAGGTCTGCAGCACCCAGTGGAATGCGGGCGGAAGAGGGCGATTTGACAGCAGTCAGGCTTGGCGATACAGTGCTGCACGTCTGGAAAGCGTCACGCAATGCGTTGAGATCTGCCGACCCTTTGGCAGCAGCTGACAGGTCAGGTAGCATAGCTCGCAAGTTCTCGATCGAATGCATCCAAGCCTGCGTCATCGCTGGAGAGTCTTCCGCACGGAATTCCGAAGAGACTTTGCGTCCGCCACCAAATCTGTCTATAAGGTTGCCGACGCCTTTGTTCGGCAGCGGGAAGGTTGCAGATCGCGGTGAAGTGGTGTTGACGGCTCGCACAGGAAGAGTATCAGGAGATGTGGCGGGTGAGGCAGGGTTCGATGCATGGTTTGAGACGTTGCTAAGCTGCTTTTCAAGCTCTCGATTCTGTGATTCCAGCTCCCCAATCTTGGTTTCGAGTTGCTTCACTCGTTGCAGGCCTTGCTGTTCCAGGTCCTTGTTCTGCTGGGCCAGAGACTGAACCTCGGCCTCCAGCTGGGACCTTTGCTCTTCCGCCTGTCGCTTCGAAGCCTCGTTCTTCTCGGACAAGGCACGCATTTCGACTTCAAGCGCATGCAACCTTCTGTGTTCATCTGTTGAGACCTTTGCCTCCTCCTCTTTCATGGTTTGCGACTTGAGCGAAGCTTCGAGACGCTCCGCCTCTGCCTTCCAACGCTGGACCTCCTGCTTACTGGCCTCGAGCTCGGCGTGATATACAGTAGGAGTAGCAGAGACATCAGACCTTGCGACGCTGTCACGGGGCGTGTCAGGAAGCTGAGCGTTGGCGCGAGCCAGTTCAAGCTCCAGATCACCGATGTGCGTCTCGAGACTGGAAAGCAAACCAGCGATATCCTGACCGGCTGTCTTCTTCTTCGCAACGCCCGCAGCACCAGCCTTGATACGCTCGAGGAGATCGTCCATCTCTTCGCGACCCTCCAGCTTGCCTAACATCCTTGCACATCGCTTGTCTTGCACTTGCAGACGCTGCTCAGCACTCTCGAGGCGGCGCTCGAAGGCATGGAAGAGCTCGTCGCGCTCTGCCATCATTCGACGCTCTGCCGAGACTGCCAGCTCTAACTCTCGCAACTTGTCATCTGCTTGATCCGCTCGAGACCGCGAGTCGAGAACCTGCTCTTGAGTTGCAGCGACTTGCTCTTCTGCCTTCATACGCGCCTGCTTTTCCGCACCGAGTTCGCTGCACACTTGCTTCAGGAGGACTTCCAGCTCGGCGATCGCTTTTGCGCGGTCGGAAGCCAATGTGGTCGCTGCGACCTTGGCCGCCGTGGAAGATTCTAGCTCCGTTCGAAGCGAGGCAAGATCCTGGGACCCTTGGGTCAACTGACGCGCCGTTTCTCCTTGCACGTCCTTTGCATTGCGCTTGTGTTCCTCGGATGTCTGTTCTGCTGCTTCAGCTCGAAGTTGAAGAGTCTTGGCCTCGTCCTGAGCGGCGGCGAGGCGAGCCTGCAGATCGGAAAGTGCGCGCTGACCAGCCATGACTTCCGCTTTGGCGTTGACGAGTGCATCTTCCTTGTCCTGATCCCGACTTCGCTCTTGTTCGAGCTGCCGTTGCATCCTTTGCTCAACATCTGCGATGGCGGCTTGGACAGCCCGAGCTTGAGCTTGACAAGCGCTCTCTTCGAATCGGTTCATCTGCTCTCGCAGCGTACGCAACTCCTCGACAGCACGACTTCGCTCACGGTACTGCTCCTCTAGCTGCTGAGTCAGACGATTGGAGGACTCTTCACGACGCTTTGCGGCATCTCGAGCTGAGGTCAGGTCGGATTCGAGCTTGCGGACCATTTCTCGCTTGCGTTCTACCTCTTCGCCGAGTCGACGAAGCTTTTCGGGTGCTGAAGCGTCGAGAAAGCTGAAACCGCTGATGGCGCTGAGATCCGACTCGATTCGGTTGTGACGGAGTGGATCGTTGGGTCCATGTGGTACGTAAGGTTCGTCGGTAGACGGTTGATAATGGTGACCAGCGTCGCGATACCGATTGATGCCTACTGCAGAAGCTGAGGAAGAAGGAGCGAGCGACTCGAAGGAAGTAGAGGTAGTGAGGAATGGCAACTTCTCCTCCATCACCTGTCGGTCAGACTCGAGGTGAACGACACGTTCGGATAGGGTGGCGGCCTGATGCTCGAGGAGTCTGCGTCGGATCGAGTTCGCACGCTCTGTCCATTTGATAAGCTCGTTGGCGACCTTGTCGACCTTGGCGGTGGCTATAGACACATCCTCGTCTGATTTTGCCTCACTGGCTGAGATGCTGAGTGCACGACTGCGTACGGCAAAGGAGGAAGTAGATGCGGAAGAGGAAGAAAACTTGTCGTTGCTGTGTCTGTGCAAAGGAACAAGCCCTGGTGAGGTGGGCGAAACAACAACTGATACAGATGAAGTGGGCGAGTGAGCAGAGGCGGCGGTCCTTCGGTGGGCTCTGCGAAGCGCCACAGCAGCGTCTCTTATCTTGATCTCGACCTTGAGCTTTGTGCGAAGAGTCTGCACTTTGCGCTCGATATGCTCGAGATCGCGCTTAGCCTCGGCGACCTGCTCGAGGCTCATGGTGCCATACTCCTGAGAATCGACGCGCGCCTGATCCAACAAGAGTCGTTGAAGCATGTCATCACGATTACCTGGGTTGAGACTTGAGTATGCGACAGTTGAGGAAAAGCCGAGCGCCGAGGCAAGCCCGGTCGAGCTGATGACGGAGCCTCCGAAGGATGAAGGCGGTGCGTGACCGCAAGTGGAAAAAGCGTGTAGGAGACCTGCGTCACTGGTCCTGGATGAGAAAAGACTCCTTCCGTTTGCATTGGAGAAGGAGGATTGCATAGATGGATTGGAAGAGTGGAACGCGCTTGCGGGAGATCGTGGAAATCTGGCAGAAAGGGAACTCGATTGCCCCGATCTTGGTTGCGCGTTGGTGAAACCTGCTGAGGATGAGATGGGAGAGGGAAAGGAAAAGGATGCCATGGTACCAAAAGCCGGATCTGAGGCAGAAGACACGTTGGCAGAGGTGCTCTGGCCCCAGGCAGGCTCGCTGTTGAGTGGGATTGTGGTGGTGATGGTCAAGGCTGAAGATGCACCCGCGTCGGGAGTGGAAGCGGCCTGACTGGCGCGACTGCCGATGTAGGGTGATTCGCGTGCTTCTGGGACCACCTCGAGAGCAGAGCATCCACGGAAGCGCGGGGCGGCGACAGAGGAGGCTGTGAGTTGTTGTTCTTGTTGTGGTGGTGGCTGTGATGAGGGCATGAGGCCACGGGTCTGAATGCCGAGACCATACTTGGCAGCAGAACTTGATTGAGAGGTAGTGTAGCGTGTCGGGCGTGATGCTTGAGCAAGAGCATCGGCAGCGTTAGCTAGTGAGGAAATGGCGTTCTGGCAGGAGGAAGAGTGCGAGATCTGGGAAGTCTGTGGTTCGCTGGTGTCGATGTCGCTAGGCGCTTGGTCTGAACCACGTCTAGAGGTGGGGGCAATCCTCAAAGATTCTGGATTGAGAGAAGCAAGACGAGAGCTTGTTGCAGAAAAGGAACGGGTCGAGTCGTCGCCAGAGAAGGAATCGGAGAAGAAGGATCTTGGCTCAGCAGGATCGAGCGACACGGGGTGCTGGTGTGAGGGGCTGGTGGCGCCACGGTGCTTGTTTGCATCTTGACGTGCATCGTCGGAAGGCGAGCGGAGCGTGGTTTCGAAGCTTGTGGTAATGGTGCTGTAGGACTGATCGCCTGCGGAGATGGAGGAGCTCTGATATTCGGCGGCATCAGTGCTTCTAGAGCTCGTGTGTTCGACAGAGGAAGAGGGGGTGATAGGCTCGGCCTCTTTCTTGGACTTTGTGAAGCGGACCGGTCTTGCGGATGCATCGATCCGCTCGATTTTTCGTATGGTGGCGCTGCTCGCATTTGTGATGGTGGCAGCAGAGAGGACGCCAGAGACAGAGCTCATGAAGCTCTCGGCTCGTTCCAGTGGCGAAGGAGGTCGGGCTACGTTAGAGTCTGCTGATGCGACTTGCAAACTGTCTGGCCATCGATGAGACAATGAGGCGGAGTCGATGCTGGTCGATGGTGTTGAGCCATGTCGGACGCCTTGTTCGAGGCGAGAAGAGACGAGTTGGGACGGAGCATCTGCCCACCTGCTTGTGGCAGAAGGCAGGGCCGACATACTCCGAGCCACGTCGAGCATAGGCAGCGGCGTCGATTGGCTATGCAAAGTGATGGTCGAGGCCGAGCTGCAAGATGAGTTGCGACGGTTGGTCTGATACTTATGCGAGGCAGAGTGGGTGGTGTTGAGATCGGCCAAGGTTATGCATCGGTCTGACCTGGCATAATGTTCGGTTGAGAAACTGTCGCGTCGAAGGCTGGCTCTCTGTGGGAGAGCCGACGCAGTAGATTAATGGCTTTCGTAGGTGAAGTCGGGAGGGTCGTTCCTATCCGCTGAAATGGAAGGTAGCAGGTGCAGAGTAAGACCGGTGGGGGCCAATTGAGCAGAAGAAATGATCAAGATGAAGCTGGAGGGAGCGTGCGGGAAACTGAATGGGCGGGACCGATGATGCAGGAAACAGACGATTGCGAGTTTAAAACGAGGGGATCCGAACGAGACAAACGAGACCAATGGAGCAGCGGTGCCAAGCAAGAGAGGATGTCGTCGCTGCAACGACGAGCGAGTTGGTGATGGTGATGAGTGGCGATGGTGATGAGCGGGTTGAAGATAAGAACTGAAGGGAACAATTCCAGCGTTTTCGGTACCGTCGGAATGGGATTTCTCTCGCTTGACACTCTGCTCTATTACTCAAGTCCAGTTTTCCAATGATCTCTTCCGTGAAGATCGGGAGTGCCGTTCGATGAAAAAGCACTGCCGATGCACACATGCTCGAGCTGCTCATGCTGCTGCTGCGGTCTGCAAAAAGCACACTCGCTTTGCCCCCACGCTTTGCCCCCTCGCTTCTGCCACCCTAACCCTAAAAAAGGGACGAATTGCATTTTGGAAGCTGCAGCAGAATTGCTGCTTGACGCGTCTTTTGCACTTTCAGTCGCGTCCTTCTGCCAAGCACTTCACCAGCTGTCACTTACTTTTTTCGATGTCTTTCCAGCACAATTTCTGAAACAGGCACCAGCGCTGTGGTTGTCTGTGTGGCTGTTGGGTGTGTCTGCAAAGAAGCCTCGGACTTGGCGTTGGACTGTGAACTTTGATTCGCTTTATTGGAGGGCGTCTCAGCACAGAGGCGTCTGCAAACGAGCGATCCGGGCTGCAATGCCAAAAGGAGCTGTCACTTTGGACCCTGAATTTCTAAATCCCTTCGTAGTAAGAGCAGTCTAGGCTTCACTCTCGCCTGCCTTGTCTCTCTCAAGCCTTTCGAGCGACACTCCCGGCCGACACGTCAAGGCTCCGACCATTGCGCTGCCTCGATTGCAACTCGTCTCGATCAACAGACAAGGTCTCTACTCTCTCTTTCATCTCGTTGATGTCTGGCTTGCATAACAGTCCTTCTTGGAATCATAGCGACTGTGCACCAACACCTTGTGTGGCACTCTTCGAATAGTTATACAAATTCGATCCGTGTTGTACATAGGCTATAATTTGAACTAGTGCCACAGCTCCATTTGCTCCCAGTCTCTGCGCTCAATCATCTTTGATTGCAACGTGTGCAGGCGTCTTGACGATATTCGCTCCCATGGCTCGCTCTCGTAGAATATCGTAGGCGCCCAAACATGAGCACTGACTGTCGCCTCATCTCGACCCTCAAGTCCAATCTCACTCTGGTTCCAAGAAGACGGCTTCGTCAAACAGCATCGACTGGGGTGCCTCAAGTGTAGCTGCTAGCCCTCTCGACCGGAGTGAACCGTCAAAATCGTCCATTCGCATGTCAGTCATGCTCTTTGACGATGACTGAGTAGCACACATGCGCTGCAATTAGCAAGATTTGTCAGAGAGGATGCGTTTCATTGCTGGTCACTTCATACTGTCATCTGTCAGGGGACGTGGTCTATTCGCCCACGTCAGTCTACATGGACCCGGTATCTCATTACCCAACTCATTGTGGGTTCTTCCTTGACATTTCAGTCAAATGCTGGCACCTCGCGGAAGTCTATCCAGCCGCGACGCTCCTTACCTCTGTGCTAAATCCTCATCAAGATTCAGCGAATCCCGACCGTAAGTAGACCAGTCAGGTCTCAAGCGAAGCATCTGTATCACAGCCGATGAGCTTTTCGGCTGGTCTTACTGGCTAATTCAGCTACTCCTCTTGCCACGCCAAATTCGATCATTCGACAGATTGCGAATTCAAGTTCGCCTTTTCTTCCCGCCACATCCCCAAAAACAATTGAACCCTATTTTTAGTGTGAGTGACTCGGACTGCGGTGACAGAATCCCACATAACATCAAGCTTTCTCCAAGGCACAGGTAAACTGGCAGTATTGTGTAGGTTCGAGCTTGGTGAGTGCAGTGAATATGACGAGCCATCCAGCTTCGCGACACCGACAGTGCCCAAGGAAGCGATCCGATATGATGATGCATGCTGACATAAACGCAATCGGCGATCAGATGGAACAGATCTGTCTGGAGATCGGGTGCAATGTAGCCCCGCTCGTTGTCAAGCTAGGTCATGAAGGAGGATACTCGCACATTCGGCACGCACCTCATAGTTGTATATATATCAAGCTGAGGACACTAGGTCCTCACCACGTTCTTTAGTCAATTGAGTATACATGTTTCTGCCCTAAAAGTAGTAGTGACATCGTGCTCGGACTCTCCTCGATCGCCAGTTATCGGGACCAAAACTTCTTCACTTTCTATTAGACAGAAGCTGGTTCAAGCAACACTTCTGCGAGGACACTAAAGGAACTTGCCAGTCTTGGAAGTAAAGCCCAGACCTTCCTGGGCGTGGTCATCGTTATGATCGCGAATGCCGAGTCTTCTTCCCGAGTTGTAGATGAGACTGTCGAGAATGCCTGCTACGGTGAGAATACCGCCGACGATGGCGCAAGTGGATGTGAGGAAATGTGAAAGAGATTGACGGTATTCAGAGTGGATGGTTTTGAGTGGCGAGATCTCGTAGTTGAAAAAGACACCGGGGACACCTGCGAAGCCGTGAGAGATGCGAGCACCCGAGCCTTCGTTTGACAGACCGGCCAGAGCTGCGGCGTTGGCACCGGGCGAAAGATCGCGTTCGTAGGTGGTGACTGAGTATTGCTGCGTTTTGAGGGTTTCGCCTGCCAGCGGACGAAACTCGGTTGAGACGACCTTGAGAAAGTACTGGAACATGTACTGACTCTCCTTGGTCCGAGCACGAACGCCCTCCAGTGGATCCTTGACGCCGAGCTTATCCTTGACAGCTCTTTCCTTGGCGGTGGTGAGGCCATGGTACTCTTGCTCAGAGCCAAAGCTGAACTCGTGGATAATGTGGCCAAAGTCGTGATGCTCTGCACCGCTGCCGGAAAGATAAGGGACAAGATCGTGGATGTGCATGCTGTTGCGCTGGAAGGCTCTGCCGGGAGAAAGGTGGAAGCTACCGACGACTTTGTTGACGTGAAGTTTGCCTGAGATACGACAACCTTCTTTGTTCTGCTCCTTGATCTTCTCGGACCATCCTTCAGCAACACACTGTTCGACATGATCGGGATCAGAAAAACTCCACCCTTTGCGAACATAGGCCTCGCGCACCTCGTCGCAAGTGTTGCAGCATCCACTGGCTGGTGGTTGACCGCCGTAGCAGTCACCGCAGTAGTCCTTGCCCTTGGTGTTTGCGATCCTTGCAGCGTCACCTTTGAGGGACTTTGTGCCCTGTATGCTGACCTTGCCATCTTGGCTGATGCGTGTTCTCTCGATGTCGTGCTGGATGTCATTGACGTGTTCACCGGATATGTCCATAACGTCGAGCGAGAGAAGATAGCATGGCACTCGCGGGAAGGTGATGTTCATGTTGACCGTCAGCTTTTCGCCGCGGGATCGATCTACTTCGAGCGCTGGCTTGAGATGCACTGTGCGATAGTCGACGTATTCTCCAATGGTGAGAACAAGGATAAGCAGCGCCGAGATGAGTGTGATGAGTGCGCCTGCATTGGTGCGAATGCGCACATCGTCCATCGTCTGTAGAGTCAGGAAGCAAAAACAAAGTTGAAGAAGCTTGTGTGAGCGGGCGAAACAAGATTTAGGCATTTGCATTGCCTGTCGGACTAGCTGCTAGAGAGTCTACTTACTTTCGAGAAGGCATCGATGCCTCTCAGCTGTCCAAAAACGCCGTTTTTCCCCATCTTGGCCGACTGAGGAAAGGTGAAACTCGATCGAGATGGAGGTTGTTTCAAAGAAAGCCTGGTGCAAGTAGTCTGTAACCCTAACCAGCAAACAAGTCTGCCACGCGCTTTCTTCCAGCGTGGAATGCAATTTCCGTTGTCGGTCTTCGGCGCTCTGTTCTCTCGCTTTGCTCCACGGGCGCGGCGAGGCGCGTGCGGGGTTGAGCGAGTCCAGCCTAGCGAGCGACATCGCATTTCACTTGATCGGAATTGCACGAGTCTTTGTGTAGAGTAAAGGCAAGTCTAACAGCTTGCCAGATCATCATCCCGCCCGCCTCAGAGCAAATTTCAAAAAAGAGCACGATTTCAGCAGAACGATTCAAATTCGTATCAGTGGCGTTAGTGCACGACAAGGTTCTGTATTAGTAAGCTGACCATATTGCAACAATTTCAAGCGCACAGAATGACAGTCCGATGACAGCCGACGGTGTCAACAAATCATGATCCCGCCCTTCATTTCCATACCATGCCCAAGATGGCCAGAACTTTCCATGGCAGCCACAGAATCGTATTGATACATCCACTGCAACTCGGTCGGATCGTTCCTGGAAAGAGCAGATACAGGCAAGCTTGCAGATAGTTGGGCTTGCCTCATGATGAAAGAGAACCTGGCGAGGCAATGTGAGACTCTGTATCAATCCCGCTCCTTGACAACAGCGCTCGATCGCAGTCACGGGCTAGTCATATATCGACGGTTCATTTAGCCATCCGCTGATCCCGATATTAGGCAAAAGCAATTTCACTGCGTATGCAGAGATATGCAGACGGGGAGGCTGCATAGAGCGTGCGTTCGTCTGAATCCCGCTGTATCCCTCTGAACTCCATCGTGTATGGCTTTTACCGCTTCCTTTTCTTTGCCTCAGTTAGGGTTAAGATTTCTCAGTCGAGCCATCACAGCCAGGTTCTCAGCGAACGCTGGACTCGCCATACTTTCAGGAGCTGTTTCTGCATGAGGCTTCGTATGGGCTAGTCGAGGAGCAGCAGCACTCAGAATTGTCACTTCCGCTAAGTGCTGTCACTTACCCTCCATGCACGAGCGTAAGAGGAGGAGATCGACTCAATTTGCAAGACCTTTTTTTTGCCACTGTAGTTGAGCTGTATACGAGTTACACTGAGGTGACGGGCTGCGCAACACTTATCAATTATATCGAACCAAAATATAGGAGAAAACATCAAAGCATTGTTGAATCTGGGAAATTTACTGCTTCTTGTTCTCCTCAGCCTGTGCTTTAGCTTCGGCCTCGGCTTCTTCGCGGTCCTGCTTGATCTCCTCGATCTCATCGTCGATGCCAATAGCCTCGTCAAAGTCCTCGATCTCTGATGTCGCTCCCTCGATGAATGGTCGGATGAGGCGCTCAAAGTATGGGTGTTCCTTGAGCTGTGGATTGTTGCGGCGAACCATGCGGAAGTACTCGCGGTAGATGTCACCATCATACCTGCCGATGGGCGAGTTGAGAACGTGGTCAGAGATGGCGAACGAGTCGATAAGGGGGATGACGAATGAACGCGTCTTTTCGCAATACTCGGTGACCTTGGCGGTAGCATAGTCGAGCTGTTCAGGTGTCAACCAGCCACTGCGCAAGAAGAAGGCAGCCTTCTCCTCCATCTGCCAGAGACCATAGAACTTGGCCAACAACTCGAGGTGCTCGCGCACACCATCTTTGGTCTTCTCGACACGCTCGACGGCGGAGCGGAACTGACGGAAGATATATCCACTGGTGTGAACGCTAGCAGCAACGAATCGAACCTGCGAGCAGTCCTCGAAAGCCTGCTCTCGACTGCGACCCTTCTTGAGGCATGCCTGGTAATCCTCGGATGCCTTCTTGACCGCATGGGCGGCAACGGTGGCCCAACCTCTGTCGATACCATCAAGCGTGTCGAGAGCAACGTTCGATTCGCACTTGGCCGTCAGAACCTTGTCGAGATCGTTCATGTACATGGTACCCTGAGAGACCTGCTTCTTGCCGTCGAGCGCATCCTGGAATGCCGAGATCAAGAAACGACCAGACTGCAAAGCAAGAATGGTGTTGTCACCTGTAAGAGTTGAACGAGGACGCGTGAACGGAGAGGATCATTTTGGTCAGCATACCCTGTCGAATCGGTCAGAGATGTAAAATCTTGTAAACTGCAGAACTTACCTTCCCACTGTGATGTCAAAGAGCGCAACAAGGAAGGGGCGGCAAAACGTCAAAAAAGGAGCCATGTCTTTGTCAGGATCACTTTTGTCCAAAATAAGCAGCTCAGGACGCTTGCCCAGGGACTTACAGTGCAGTGGACGGCAAAGTCCGAGTACATATTGGCGAAAGCGTTGTAAGACGAGTATCCGTGACCACCACAAGCCTGTCGAGATCGGTCAATGGTTTCGAGAGTGGCCCATGTGCAGAAAGCTTTGAGACCGGCACTGGTGGAATGGGTTTCTTTGAGCTTCTCGATGGTAGCGTCAAGGTTCGGGTCACCAGGCTCAAGGGCCTCGAGCGCCTGCGAAGTCTCCTCGAAGAGACGCTGGAGCTCAAGGGAGGTGTATCCGAAAGCGACGGCCTGAGCGACCAGAGGCATAAGACGTCGCTGATGAATGGGGTAGTCGAGAATCTGAGTCTCGTGCTTGGCATTTGCATCCGACTTGAACTGTCTTCGGGCTGCGGCATATCGGACTGAGATAGTTAAAGCCTTCTTGGCGGTGTTGGCGGCATCAGATACCATGGCGGTTCGGCCTTGGAGAAGGGCACCATAGGTGAGCTGCTGAAGAGGAGGCTCTCGGACCTCACCGTCTCGGGTGACCTGAGTGTGCTTCATGAGCATGTAAGCACGAGGGATGCGAACGTTGGTAAACTGAATGTAACCGTTGTCGATACCGTCACGACCCATCTTCTTGCCGATATCACCGATATTGATGCCGGGAAGAAGCTGGAAGGTCTTGGGATCGCGGAGAGGCACGATAAAGGTCTTGGTGCCGTACCGCTTACCATTGACAATGAGCTGTGCAAAGACGGAACAGTGAGTGGCGGTCTGGGCAGCACCACCAATCCACCACTTTGTGGCGCCAAGGTTAGGTGTGTGGATGACGAACTCGTCGGTCTGAGCGTCAAAGTGAGCGGTTGTCTCGAGGCCGGCAACATTACTACCGTGAGCAAGCTCGGTCATACCGAAACAGCCAAACATACCGTTGCAGCCGATAACGCCCTTCTCCATCCAGTAGGAGAACTGGTTGGGGGTGGCACCAGATCGGATAGCACCAAGGAAAAGACCGTAGTGAACACCAAGACGGGTCCAAAGGCCAGGGTCAAGGAGAGACATGAGCTCCATGCGCTTCTGGAAGTCATCGACCGACTCGCTGGTGACGTAGTGAGCGAGACGCTGGATACGCTGCATGGTTCGCTCACGAATCTGCTCCGTTGTGAGATCGTAGATGTCTGCCGAGTAGAAGACGGGGTCACGACTCGCTTCGAGCATGAATTTTTCCTTCTTGACGAGGTCGTTTTCAGAACCGTGGTGCTCGATCGACATCTGGCGGAAGAAAGTGGGAGGCAAAGGGCAGGAATGAATGTCAGTACACGCTGCTGTAATTTGTCAAACTACAAGCTCCTTCTGGCGACGTTGTGACTTACCTTTCGAACATCAAAGGGAGGGTTGGCCCTCTCCCTTGCCATGGTCTCCATGGTCAGGTTGTCGGACCAGGTCGACATGATGGCGAACTTGTCCCTTTGGGTACGAGAGGACCGACTGCTGATCCTTGATGGAAGCGAAGCGTTTGCAGAAAAGTATGTGTGGGTATAAGGTCGAGCTCTACTAAATTTAGAAGAGATGATGGGGAAAGGAAAGAAGGAGGAGGAGGGTCGTGATAAACTACAAGGGTCAAGTCAGGGCGAGGGCCCAAGTTGAAAGCGGCTTGCAGCTGAGCGGCTCAGCAACCAGTTTTAGGATGAAAAAGGCGGGCAAGCTCGGAAGCGACTGTCGAAAACAGCATGCGGGGTAAGCGGACGGGGAGGGCAAGCAATTGGTTTCAGATCGAAGCTGAGCCCAATCACCCTTGTGCCAGTGGAGTATCGAGAGGGGTACAAGGAAAACCGAGTGTGTTGAAAGCCTTGCCCTTTTTCTTTTTTTTGGTTGAGTGGTGCGTGGGGGCGTGCGCAATCATGCAGCATCGCCTAATCCGGTCTTCGGGCATAACAGCCGCAAGAGTGGGAGAGAAAAGAGAGCGCCCATGCAAAAAGTGCGAAAGAGTTGCAGCGTGAAAGCCAAACAGAACAGAGAGGCTCACGCTGCCATCAGAAGCGGCTCCATCAAGCTCAGCGGCTTGAGATGAATTATCGGCCGTGTATTCGCGGCTTTCACATTTTTATGTCACAAGTCTGCTTATATATCCTTAGTATAGCTAAAATGTGTTAGAGCTCTAAATTGTACCACTTTATGGAAATCAACCTCCACATGCCACCTATTGAGTGCCGAAAGTAAACAATCCAATGTGATAATGTAAGCTGACATGAGACGATGCGAGAGGGATCGGGCGAAGTAGATCTAATCAGAGATCGGGTACAACTTAGTCCCGCTCGTTGACACACATCGTCATTAAAGGGAATGCTCCCACCTTTGGCATATGCCGATAGTTTGTATATATATCAAGCGGGGAGCTCGAGGCTCCCACCACATTCTTTCCTCAGTCAATTGAGTATATTTGTTTCTGTCTAAACCTAGCAGTGACATCGTACTCAGACTCTACCCGATCGCCAGTTATCGGGACCAAACTTCAACATTGAGGTGATTATTGATAGAAGCCAGATCCATGCATTCCCTGTCATGCATTCCCTGCCATGCATCAATGCAATACTCAGCCTCGACCGATGTTCAGTCTGGGCGAAAGCAATGAGAACGATCCGGCGGCAGCGTTGCTGAACTAATCTGTCATTTGCACAGACCAAGATGATCGCTGTTTTCGTCGCTTCCAGCCGTCCGCTCTCCGATCGACTCATTGCCTCCCCCATACGCTTCATCGTCGCATACAGTTTTCTACAGCGTTCGGCTAAAGATGCCGGCACACCCTCACCTAGGCTATAGCAATCCAGGTGAGACACTCATCCTAACCAGAGACTTCGCACACGCTTGCTGACGATGCATTGTCAATCGTCTGTTCATCCGCTTGATAGTGATTGGCCATGACTTTGCCGACCCGGGAGTCTTTTTCGATCGTCAGACCCAGACATGGTATGCTTTTGGTACCAACGGCAATGGAAAGAACATTCAATGCTCCTACACCAAAGACTTTTGCTCATGGACTCAACATGAACAAGACTGCCTTCCTGGACCCTTCCCTCCGTACCAGTCCGGTGCACCAGTACGTATGCTGTCTGACCTCCAAGCGGAACTCGAGCTCTGACACTTTCTGCAACTGAACCTTCTCGCGCCAAGTAGGGCTTCCTCTGGGCTCCGGAGCTGATTGAAGCACCTCAGAATCGGGGCGGCTACCTGATGTATGTTTCTTGTCAAGACTCCATCTACAAGAAGCAATGCATTGGCGTCGCCTATTCAGATCATGATCCAAAAGGTCCTTATCGCTGGATCACAGACCGTCCACTGATCTCCAGGGTAAGCACGAGAACGATTGTTCCCCCGCATCAGCTCGTCGAGCGAAACACAATCCCACCACTTTCCTCTTAATTTTGTCTTCCATTTCTTTAGGGAGAGACTGGCGGAACACTGGACCCGCAACCCTTCGAGGATCCGGTCAGCGGCAAGCGCTATCTCGTGTACAAGGTCAGTGACCATTCCTTCTTCCTCTCGTCGCGGCAGATGCATCTCTCCGACTCGCAAGGCAATTTCTCATCTGCTTTACGACCCAACAGTCCGATTGGGACCGCATGTATACCGATCACCCACAACTATGGCTATCAGAACTTTCCCCCGACGGCCTCTCTCTTGTAGGCGACATGCACCCCCTTCAAGGTCCCACACACCGATATCAATGTGGTCTGTTAGAAGCGCCCTACCTCTTCCACCACGCCCCCAGCAACGCCTACATCCTGTTCTTTTCCTCTGGCACGTTCACCAATGGCACCTACGCCACCTCCTACTCGATCTCGCATAACGGGCTCTTCGGTCCATACAAATGTCCTCCAAAGCCTCTTCTAGAGACCGATCGAATACGCAGCGTCATGGGTCCTGGTGGAGCCTGCGTTCTGCGCGGAGTAGAAAATGAACACTTTATCGTCTTCCACGCGCTCGAGAGAGAGGGAGGCAATCGTAGGACATGTGTCCAACGCATCTGCTTCAGCGATGACGGCACACCGTACCTCTCCTCACGACCTAACTGCGGCAAAAGACTGCGTCTAGGAGCAGAGCAAGAAGATGATATGCAACACTTTGACAACCAGCGGCAAAAGACTGCGTCTAGGAGCAGAGCAAGAAGATGATATGCAACACTTTGACAACCAGCTGCCGCAATCTACCCATGAAGCCGGTCCTGGACACGTCAAGACAGGGTCGGCAGTGTCGAAGCTGCTTCGTAAGGTCAAGGCCAAGCTCGACTCGGATTCCGATTAGTTAGAAAAGGACTCGGGGATGGAATGGGGTCGTATCTGTCCGGATTGATCTCTGGCATACACTACCTGAAATGGGTTGAATGTAATAGTCGTAGAAGTTGCTACATTGTTGGTTGCTTTTACAAAAGCTCCTCGTGCTCTAGATGTTCGCGCGGGTTGGATTCCGATATCCAGCCTTCCCTTTCTGCTGGGTCCGCACTGGCTTCGCCAATTTTAGGAGAACCACCTCTGCCAAGCCGAAGCTAGACGTCCCCACGAATAGAGGTATGCCCAGATGCCTGTTGCCGACAAGATCGGAAGTGAAAGGTTGTCGTCTACTCCCCCAAGCTCGAGTCCTTCCGCCACACCTGCCACGACTCCTGAACCTATTGTGAGTAGCCACCAAGGCATACCGGGCACGTCCTTGGAAAGGGGCAGAGCATCAGTGCCGAGCTTGCCCTTTGCGATGCTGTCAGCGCCGAGATACTGTGCGGACAAGCCCAATGCTCCCGGCAGAAGGCCGGCGCCGCTCTGACCTTTGAAGCCTTTGGAGAACCCTTCCCAGCCAGTACCTGTCGCCCCGCTAACGCGATCTGTTCCGAAGATGGCTGGATGGGCATACCCTGAACCAGACCAGGAGATGCCGTTGGTGCGAATGCCTGCAGAAGCGATCGAGGTGCACCAGAAGAGATACGAAGTAAGCGCACCGCTGACGATGGCAGCAAGGAAGCCAGCTGTAGACTTGCGGCGAGCGAAAGGCGGTGAGGGCAGAGGCGGTGTGCATCGTCCGAACGCTCTGCCGAATGTTGAAGCGCAAGTGTCGCACCATGACAGGATCATGACAGACACGCATGCGATATCCTCTGGGAAGAAGTGGAGCGAGGAGATGACACCGACCAAATACCACACCACTCCATTGACCTTGTCCTTCTCCGACTCGCGCATGAGGAAGCCCAGCACCTTTTCGTAGATCTGTTCAAAGTGGTCGTTATTGAGTCGGATGACATCTGCTGTGACGACGACGCCGAGGAAGTAGGAGAGATTGCGAACGATAACGTTGAGGTCTGTGCCGGAAAGGTAGAGGTGTAGAACCATGAATCCGATCGAGCTGTGGAAGATCTTGCGCGGAATCTCCCAACTCTTCTTGCTGGCTGGTACCACAGAGCCATGTGATCGTTGTTTGGATAGGGTTCCACTAGAAACGCGCTTGACGGCTTTTGGTCGACGTGATCGTAGAGTAGAAGCATTGCCGTTGCCATCTATCGTTTTGGCAGTCATGTCGGTATCGTTGGCAGCACCGTCCTGAACAGGTGCTGTGATGCTGGCTGGATCTGTTTGCAAAACCCCACTCGTCTCGAGCATCTCACGATCGAAGTCGGACTCGGCTCGTGATAGTGCCCTGAGCACGGCAGCACCCTTTTGAAGCGAAGATGATCGTTGGCGCGTCAATGTCTTGTGCGTGGTCGGTGGAGGCGAACTTGCGTTTCTGATGGAAGGAGGAGGAGAAGATCGTGGTGACTCGGAAAGCACTTTTGCGGAAGGTCTAGATGACATGTTGTCGTACAGAGTTGAACCTTGCCTGGAGAAGATGGCGATGAGGTGTAATGCAAAGGTGCAGGGTGCAGCCGATGCGATTCGGAAGGGCAAGAGATGATCGTCTCCAACCCTGAATTTAATGGACACAAGCACGCGTCCACTGCGATTCTTGGTCACACACATTTTCTCTCAAAATCCAGATTTCGACTTTCCCGCTCCACCAATCACAACAGCAAGACGCGTCGGGACGTCACTACAAAAAACCAACCCTTAAAGGGTCAAAAAGTAGCTCGAGTCGGTCTCGATCCGACGACCTTTGGGTTCCTTCTAATAGTTGAATATGAGCCCAACGCCCTACCACTAGACTATCGAGCTTCTAGTATGGTTGCATCCGATCTCTGTCCTGTATTGGCTCAGCCCAATTTTTTTTTACCTGATTTGCCTCATCTAATCCCGATCAGATCTACTTAACCTGATCACCGACTCAACCTTCTCCGCCCGATCCTCTAAAGTTCTGATGTACATTATTCCTAGATCGGACTAGATCGCAATCTCCAACAGGGTCGAGACGTCACTACATCACAAAAAATCAACCCTGGAAGGCCAAAAAGTAGCTCGAGTCGGTCTCGATCCGACGACCTTTGGGTTCCTTCTGATTATTGAATATGAGCCCAACGCCCTACCACTAGACTATCGAGCTTCTAGTAATTGCTGTCTTTGTGTGAGCTCTAATTATAGGTAATGACACCATGGCTTCAAACACTTGGAAAAGAAACGCATCGTCAAAAGTCACATCCTAATTCACACAACGACCTCTTCTTTCGAGAGATCACATTTCTTGATTCAGCTTTTCGCGCTCCTTGACTGACTACGACCCAGCTCAGCGGATGTTCCGAGCGTGAGTGAGAGACGTGATACAGGCGCCAGCCGACTGTTGGCGGCTAGGCCGAAAGTACCCAAATCCCCCGTGAGAAAAGTATTTGGCTGTCCCGTGTCCAAGTGTGTGCCTCATCGGAAGAAGCCAATGGCTAGAAAATATGGCTATATGCGCCTGAAATCGTTCGTAGAGGCCTCAGAGACTTGGTAGAGGCTGATTCAGCTTTATTGTCGCAATACAACTCGAGCTGATAATGGTCAGAACTGGGACAGGCAGGGTGGTCCCATGGGCGTGCGATGCTACCCGAAACGCTGGAGAGTTGAAGTGTCAGTCGAGGGTAAGAATGGAAGGGCACAGACAACCTTCGAGAATCTTGACAGCGCGCTCGAGCTCTATGATCTCGCCCTTCTCTCTCAGTACGGTCCTGGAGCGAAGCTGAACCTCCCCCAGAACCTCTCAAAGTACCTTGGTATGCTCGAGCAAGATGCGGCCAAGAAGCAGCTGGAGGATTTCTTCGAGGACAGGCTCCGTTCGCCTGTCCTTGATAAGTGCAAGGACCGCGCTTAAGCATAATTGGTAGTTCCAGTCGTCAATCGCAATGTTTCGTAGTTTCGTTTGGCAACCGCATTGATTCGCAGTCTTTCTCGAAAGAAGTGTGTCTGCATTACGAGCGAAAACAGTAGAGATCAAAAAAGGTAGCCCTTGGCAAGAGCGATCTCGGCGTTCATGACGGAGCTGGTAGCGGCACCGATCATGACGTTGTTGGAGAGAACAACGAATTTGATATCAAAGACGGGGCATTGGCGGACCCTACCGACATTGACACCAGCGCCATTCTGCCAGTCGCGATCTAGACGAGGTTGTGGACGGTCCTGCTCCTGATGCAATGTGATGGCTTGAGCAGGTGCTGAGTGAACGCCAATCTTTTGTGCTTCTGTGGTGAACTCTTCAAAGCACTTCTTGACTTCTTCTACCGATGGTGCGGGACGCTTCTTGAACGAGACTGATACGCATTCCATGTGTCCATCAATGACGGGAACTCGGTTGCAGTGAGCGGATACCTTCAAAGGGTTTTGCTCATGGTAGTCGAAAGCCGTCTTGTCCAACTTGATACCACCCAAGATCTTGGCTGTTTCCCACTCGATCTTCTCCTCCTCGCCGCTGATAAAGGGAACAATGTTGTCCAGAATATCGAGAGAGGAAACCCCGGGGTAGCCTGCCCCCGAGATAGCCTGCATTGTGTTGACCAGTACCTTCTCCAAGGGGCCGAACTTCTCCTCCAGCGCTTTCAATGGCACGACAACACCGGTGGTGGAACAGTTGGCGTTGGTGACGATAAAGCCCGTCTTGGTGCCGACTTGCTGTTTCTGATACGGCAGGATCTCCATATGGTCCGGGTTGACCAATGGCACTACCAGTGGACAGAGTGGGTCAATGCGGTAGTTCTTGGCGTTGGAAAAGACTCTCAACTCGGCCTTGCGGAAGGCATCTTCGACGGGTCCAGCAGGTCCAGAGTCCAAGCCAGAGAAGATGACCTGGCATTCAGCAAAGTGTTGAGGCTGGCATTCGTAGACTGTCATCTGCGCAACGTTGTCGGGGACTCGGCGGACCTGCTTCCATCTTCCTTCGACGGCTTTGATGTATGTCTTGCCTGCTGATGATGAAGAGGCGCCGAGAGCAGCAAGTTCAAATTGAGGGTGATCGGCAAGCTGGAGGATGAATCGCTGTCCGACGGTACCTGTGGCGCCGAGTACGCCAACTTTGAGCTTTTGTGGTGATGAAGATGATGACATTGTGGTTGGGTGCGCAATACCAGATTGCAGGGAGAGGATGGGATGGTGAGTGGAGAGTTGATGATCGAACTGGCGAAGCGAAGCTCTAAACAGATCAGGTCGTGCCGAGGAATCTAATTCATGGACAAGGCAGCAGGCCAGTCTCGAGCATTGATTTCAAGGTTGCATTTCTTCCAATTGGTGCGTCGAGTCACTTTTCGCCTTACTGATTTTTTGCTACTTGGTCGCGATATAACAGCTTAAGATTTTTGATTTTTGATTTTTGATTTTTGATTTTTGATTTTTTTCTGATTTTTCTGATTTTTTGATTTTTTGATTTTTTTGATTTTTGATTTTTGATTTTTTCCAGCGGCTTCACGGTCCGGATATTGAGCCTCATTTTGATCGCGGGAACTGCACACACCTGTTCGAGACTGGATGACGATACAAGTACAATTGCAGACGTGAGACAGATGAACCAGCAATGATCGAGCGTAAAAGAGGGGACGCGATGCTTGCGCTGTCTTGAGGGCTGGAAGGGCATACTGTGCTTTGCGATGGTTACGCCTTCATGTTGGCAAGGATCTCCTGATACGGCTGTACCAGCGCGGTCAAATTGCGAGGTCTTGCCAGAATCTGCAGGACCTGACTGCAGAGTTGACGCTTATCGAAGCCGAGCACAGTCGACTCCCAGGACGAATCCTGATCCTTTTCTGGTTTGTAGTAGATGGGACCAATCAATGACTTGATCAGATCTTCAGCCTGGTTTTTGATGCCCTCTTCTGCGATGCGTTTGGCATAAGCCATCAAGTAGTTCTTGTACTCGTTGGCACTATCGAGGATGATGGCAGCTAGCATTCGTGCTTCTAGGTGTCTCAGCGTGATCGCAATGACAAAGTCCGATTTCTTGTCTTCGGGTACCGTCATCTCGACTGAAGGACTTTCTTCGTCGTCCGACTCCTCCTGTGTTCCCACCTGATTATCTCCGTGCACACGACGGACATACATCGTGTTGATCTCGGCTTCGATCGCTCGCACAGGATCACGAATGGCTGCCTCGCTACCGCGACTGCGTGTGCGTCCATCCCATGCTTCCGAGTGTTCTGCCCACCAGCTGTCGCTGATGCAGACCCAACCAAGCTTGTTGTCGTCGAGCGTGTACGCCTTCTCGCTGTGCAGGATCACAATGGGCGCTCCGTTGCTGTGTATCGTCATTGACAAGAGATTCTCAGGCTCACCAAGCAGGTTGAGCACCGAGATCGGTCGATGAATCTCACGATCGGTACGAATGTTCCATCTGTACATGAGACCGGAGACAGTGACTGCCATAAGCACGACGCCATTGCTTTCCAATCGGTAGCAAGCCGAGTCCAACAGCAGATTGCCAATCCTTCGACCTCGCGCCGAGTAGATGAGTATCGTTGAATCCTCCAAAGCTACGGCAGAGAAGAAGGATGCGGCTGTGGCTAGCGTGGCAGCTGTTGGGCTAAAGTCGAACCAGAGCGCGCGGTCCTTGTCGGAAGGGTCGAGTCGCGCGATCTCGGTCGGTCGTGATTCATCAAAGTTGCGGATTTCTATCGACATGTTATCCTCATCCCGGCGATAGATGCTCGAAGTCTCGGGAACAGCCAGGTGCACGCCTTTGCGAACACCATTCTCGACGATTCCACTTGCACCCACTAAAGCCTCTCGCAGCACCTTCTTCGGACCTGGCGGATCACGTGGAGTCTCACCTGCCAGTGTTCGTCCAACGTCCGCCCTCGTCTTGCCCTTCTGAAGCTTGCCGATGGGCTCGATATCTTCCGAGTCGGTCTCGACTTCTTCCACCTTGCGCTTCTTGCCCCGCATGAAGCGTTGTTGGAACTCGGTCCAGAATTGCATCATGTCTTCGGGGCTGGCACCTTCGGGCATGATGCCGAAAGGTAGACCTACAGGCACGTAGGGCATCAATGAAGTGGCAGCGGCAGACGGCATCGCCATGACAGGCATCGAGCCGGGCGCATTTGATGTTGTAGCGCCATAAAAGCTTCCATTGGTGCTGCTCGCGTGCACGCCGTTCGCACTGCGACCAGAACCGAATCCGTCGGTAGTGGTACCGCCAACAGCTTCACGCATGGCTGGTAGCTGATGGGACTGGAAGGTCTGCATAGAAGGGTGCTGCGTAGTTGCCGGCTCGGAGGCGTAGTGAGGGAGAGGTGCAGGTGCGGGTGCGGGTGCGAGGTCGTCGCCGATGAGGGTGGGTCGAATGCGACGTTTGCCGTCTTTGGTGATGGTGATGGTTTGCTGCAATCGCTCGTTTTTGGATGCTGCGGGTCGAACAGGGGGCACGCTACCAGCAAGGGGCACGGGTGTCACTGAGGAACGTGGTGGCAGAGTCTGTCCAACTTTGCGTGGTCGAAGAAGATTGGGACGATCTGAAGTTCCGGCGATGAGGGCGCCATTGGAAGAGGTTGCGACATTTCGAATCCTCTTGACACCGTGCTTTGCTCGCGATTGTTCAAGTCTCTTGCCGCTCAAGGCTTCCGAGATGATGTCAGGTGTAAGGTTGAAGACGGCGACGGTGCCGTCCGATGAACAGGCATAGAGCGTGTAGCCATCAGCTGACCAGGAAAGATCCATGACCTGTCGCTGGAAGACGTCCCTGGCGACCAAGACGGGCTGCTCAAGACCAGTGATCCAGATGGAGACCGACTGGTCAAGCGAGCCTAACGCGACCACGCAAGAGTGTGTACCTCCATCAAAGCCGACAAAGATCTTGGGACTGAAGGCAGTGACAACGACGGCATTCTCGTGACCGACAAAGTAAATGTCGCTTGTCCAGTTGGATCGCTTGACGACGCTGGCAACGAAGACGGGACCGCTCATAGCGTTGGCACAGAGGAGCAAGCTACCATCGGGGGACCAACTCGGGCGGCGGAAGAAGGCGGTCGAAGGGCTGGTGAGGAAAGGGTGGGTGACAGATCGCTCGAGGCTCCAGTCGGAGGTGCGCCAAACCTTGACGGTCTTGTCATCGGAAGCCGTTGCGAGGTATTGACCGAGAGGGTCAAAGACGACCCCTTTGACGAAGCCTTGATGAGCATCGATGGTGCGTAATCGCTCGAATGTGGTGGTAGACCAGATGAAGACCTTGGAGTCGAGACCAACGGTTGCGATGAACTCGTCATCCTCGGCCCATGCCAAGTCTACGACGTCTGATTCATGCCCTGCCAGACGACGGAAGGGCCTCCAGCTTTCGAGGTTGACATCGGTGGATCCGAAACTGCCACCACCCATGCCACTGGGGTCGAGATCCCAGATGAGAGCGACAGTGTCATCGGAGCCGGAAGCGAGGAAGCGGCCTGAGTTGGCCCATCTCACCACGAGGACGCTGCCGGTATGTCGTGAGAGAGTGGAGAGGAGTCGATGTGAGTTTGTGTCTTTCTCGTCTGCCTCGGAGAGGATGGTGGCGGTGGACCAGATGCGAATCTTGGTGTCGAGACCTGCTGTGGCTAGACGGCTGGAGTCGGGATGAACAGCAACGCTGAAGATGGTAGAGCGTTTTGCCTTCTTGTCGTCGTTGTAGTGGGCCACCCATTCTGGTAGGATGAGCGACATGGCTGCTGGGGAGCGTCGACAATCGGACGGAGCCGATCAGCTCGTCGCGGTGTCGTAGAACGCCTGTGGATACGAGCTGAGTGCGTTAGGTATCGTCTTGGTAGTAGAGGATGTGCGAACAAGAGTGTAAACTGGTGGCGTAGGAGAGGAGATGATGCTGATATGATGGTGTGCATGCAAGCTAGCTAGTTGCCGAAAGGTAGTATGGAAGCGACGAACATTGCTGATGGGGAAGAGGATGATGGGGAAGAGGATGATGGGGAAGAGGATGATGGGGAAGAGGATGATGGGGAAGAGGATGATGGGGAAGAGGATGATGGGGAAGAGGATGATGAGACGACGATCAACTTTCACTCTCTCTTCTCTTGCTCGGCTGGGTTTGTGCAGAATCTTGCCTTGACGTGAATGCACGCACGTCCTTCCATCCTTGCGTCTATTACTGCATTGACGGGAGCCTCTTCGCTCTGGGTCTCCTTTGACTGCACTTTTGCGAAAAGGCTTGTGTGCCTGTGTCTTGCTTCTCGCCTCTCTTGTTGAGGCTGCACGCGCCTTTTTCTTTTTCTTTTTATTTTGGAGCCGATTTTCGAGATCAACACAACCCAAGGACAGCTGGGATAGAGGAGACTGCAAAGGAAGACTTGCCTATCAGAAGTAAAGTTGGCAGTAGTCAGCGAACGCTTACCAAGATGGCTCATTGTGGCGTTCCAATTTAGCGCATGTCACAGCAGAAATGCAGTCGAAAGCACAGATAGATTACAGCATCACAGTCGGCGATGCCGATGAAGAGTACCAAGCCAAGGATTGCCAGAAGGACGTGTGTGCTCAAAAGTGTCGGTCAGAGCGGGGCGTTGGCTAAACAAAGCTTCTTGTTAAGTTTCCTCGTGCGGCAGGCGAATTGAGGCGGGCGTGGACTCAACAGGGTCCAATCTCTGAGAAAGGAACGCCTGAGAAGGCCAGAGAGAGAGAGAGAGAGGGGTAGGTCGGAGTTCCTCGGCCAACTGTGAAAGAAGCCTCATATGCGAGTTCCGAGGAATTTTGGCTGTGAGTTGAGCTTTTTCACGTCGGTAGAAAGCACGCAACACAAAGGCTCAAAGAAGGGAAGGATGAACGTGCATCCGAAGAGCCGATTCCAGGAAAGTGATCCATGCAATCACTCGTGCAAGTTTGCTCTTCCCATCATTCTCTTTGAATGCCTTGTCATTTAGGCAACAGTGAGATCACAAGAGGCTCAGCCTTGAGCACCGCCAACCGATTCTCACGCATATCAAGGCGCCGCTGCTACCGACGACCATAGTCTTTGCCGGCGCGTTTGGACACTCATCTGTGTCGGAGAGCTCCCGAAAAGCTTGCAGATACCTTTTCTCGCATCGATCTTAGCTTGATTGCCATCGATCAGGACCCAATCTTTTCCGCAAGAGCAACCATGAACGCAATGGCGGTGCACCACTCTTTATAAGCACACTTGTCAACCGAGCCTCATCACGACAACAGCATCGGCGAATCCGATCCTTGCGGATACACAGCGATTGCCTCGGCACGCTTGACAACGGCCGCGATGCAGCATCCTGAATATCGCCACGGCCCGGATCAATATCGATGGCAGGAAGACGACCTCACATCTCCCGCCTTCGATCCCTTAACATCTCCTTTGCCCTCGCCTTTGCCCTCGCCTTCGCCCTCGCCCTCGCCCTCGCCCTCGCCCGCACTGTCAGCGTACTCCTACTCTTCCACATCGAGTGCCGACGACTTTTCCGACCATGAGCCAGACCTCGACGTCTTGTCACTGGAAGCGATCGAGGAGCCACAATACCGCTTGACGGAACCGTTAGCCTCATTGCAAGGCCATTATGGACCTGCCCCCGGTCTTGCTTGGTCCGATGTAGACCCTCGACAGTCGGCTCTTCCGAGCGGCGCTGCGACACCCGTTGCTTCTCAATCCTCTGCATCGCTTCGATTCATGGAAACTGCACGCGCTACATCTCCTTCTCCGACCGGCGCTGGTCTTTCCGCCTTTTCATCTCTCTACCGCAGTCAGTCACCAAGGCAGGCCTCCGAAAGCTCGACAGCCTCATCTCATCCCACTTCCATCGTCAACGACCTCTCACTCGGCATAGCAAGGCAGCCCTCGCCACCCGACTCGGATGAGGAGCCTATCGGTCGCGAGGCCGACGCAGATGGCTTCGACGCCTTGGATGTCGACGAAGAGGACATGCACGCAGATGGCATCCCTGCAGCTCGTGGTTGGCGACTCGATGCTCGACAAGCCGACACCACCCAATTCAGGGCCAAGGTGCTCCAGCTCTTCTCTGAACAGCTCCGTCTCAACGGTTGGACTCAAGACACGCTCGATTCATCCCTTTGGCCCCTCCAGCCTGATCAGCTCAAATTGAAACGAATCAGCGGTGCATTCACCAACGCCGTCTTCTTTGCCAGCTATGACGCTGCACACTCGTCCATACCGACCCCAGGCCCTCCGACTGTCTTGCTCCGCGTCTATGGTGCCAGCTCAGAAGCGCTTCTCTCAAGACGTGCTGAGCTCCTCATCCTGCACACATTGTCGAGTCTCTACGAGATTGGTCCCCACATCCTTGGCACCTTTGCCAACGGTCGAGTGGAAGAGTTCTACGATTGCGACCCTATTCAAAAGGAAGGCATGCGAGATCTCGGAGATCGAGAGGCTTACATGCTGCCAGCTGGCAGCTTGGTAGTCAAGGGGCGCGAAGGCCGTGCGCATTGGGTAGCACGACGCATGAACGAGCTCCATTCAGTGCCGCTCGAGGTCATGCGCACCGTTCTTGAACAGGGTAACTTGCGCGGTCCCAGCGAGAAGGGTTTCGGTAGAGGCATAGAGAACCACATTATGGCAAGCTCGCACCGTCCCAGGCGCAAGGCTCGTCATTGTCACACTTCCAGTCTTGCCGACAAAGATGTCGCCTCACCCCACCTCTATGGCCTTGACTCTCGTGGCATCATGCGTGCAAGTCCAGCACCCATGGCGCCCAACGAAGCCTCACCGGCCGCTGCCATGGATATGAAACCAAGCTATGCATTTGCGCATCGCAATAGCTCAACCGTCTCGCTCGATTCGTTGGCAACAAGCTACAACTCGCAGTCCAGCTTCTTTGGCGACAGTCCATCCTTGAACGGCGCCACCAGCCCTTCGCCCTCCAACTCTTCTGCAACCGACCCACCGAACTCCTTCTTCCCTCCTCTCCTCAACGCGCCCATGAGCCCGCTTGCTTTGGCTCCTCAGCGACGATCCTCACAGAAGCAAAAGTCGCCCCGTGGGCCTTATCCCGGTGTCTGGCGTCGACTAAAGCGATGGTCACGCGAGGCCGCAAAGGTAATCGAGCTCCTCGATGGCTTTGCAAAGACGGAGAGCGGCGCCAAAGCCATCGCCATGTGCTTCTCTGGCCATCCTTCCATTCGCCAAGAACTGCAGGCCAACCCGAACGCACTCACCACAGCTACCATCGGACAAACACCTGGCAACCTCCGCAACACGCTTAGAGCTATTCGCGCCATCGACCTTGTCTCTCTGTACCGCGAGGTAGAAGACTTCAAACGCTTCGTCCGCAAGTGGGAGCGGCGCGAGGGTCCTTCCCGACGAGTCTTTGCTCACAACGATGCACAATACGGAAACCTGCTTGCCATCAAACACCTCAATGCTGTCGCTGCGACCTCGGCTGCTCAACCAGATCAAAGGTTCCGAGATGCCAAGTCTCCTTCCGTCGACACGCCATCCATCCCGGCCGGCATGCCCCGTTTGCCTTCGCACGACAGCAGACGTGATAGCTCTGCTTCTGTTACCGGTTCGCAGAGCCCTGTCTCCATCAGATCCAAGAGCCGAAGCCGCGTCAACTTCAAGAAGCCTCCACCGCTTCATCATCGCATCGTTGTCATCGACTTTGAGTATGCTAGTCCTAATCCACGAGGCTACGATATTGCCAACCACTTCCAGGAATGGCGTGCCGACTATCATCACCCCTCGCACTCTTGGTCTCTGACTCATCATGGCAGCTATCCAGATGCACAGCAACGTCGCAAATGGCTTCGCGCTTACGTCGAACAGGGGCGTCTCCTCCGCATGGGTGTACGACCGACCAAAGGCGGCGGACCCGTGGCGCTCGACGTACCTAGCGATATCTCACTGCCTCCGCCTGTCTCACAACTTCAGTACCCAGCATCCGAAACCACCATCAAAGGACCCATCACTGCAGAGAAGCCAAGCGCGCCGACGACGCCGGGCACGGGAGCTGCTCAGGTGGCTGCGCTTCAGAAGTCTTCTGGTGAACGCAACCGTCCGTCTATATCGCAGAACAGCTCAAACGCTTCTACATTATCTTCTACGACCAGGAGGAGCTCAACTAGTTCAGCAGCCTCCGGACGCGACTCCAAGCTCAGCCAAGCACTCACACGGAAGAGCAGCAACGACTCGATCTCTTCATCGTCCTGGCAGGCGCCTCCGTCTGGCAACCTTCGAGCTATCAACTCGTCTGCTCCAAGCACTCCAGCCAGCTGTCTGGCTCCAATGTCTCCAATTTTGGACGGATCAGCTTCTCCCCAGGTGATGGCACTAGCCTCGTTGGATGCGAGTATCGAGAAGGAGATTGACCGGCTGGAGCGCGAAGTGATGCTGTGGAGTCCTGCTACCCACGCTGTCTGGGGCTTGTGGGGCATCGTCTTTGCCAAGGAGGAGCTTGAGTCGGTGCTTGCCCGAGCCAAAGCGGAGGCTGAGGGTCAGGCTGTCGAAGAGACGGTATTGACCGAGGCAAGCACCCAAGCCGTCGGCGCCGCAGGGAGCGCCGAGACTTTCGACAATCTGCGATATGCACTTGGCCGCATCGAGCTTTTCCGTTACGAATGGAGTCAACTCAAACATTTGGGCATCGAAAACATCTGATACCGGTGGAGTTGCTCGTCAGCCTTTTACCAAAAGCACGCATTCAAACTGTTCCTGAGCTGTCTCTGTGATTCTGTTCGGTATCATCATGCATATCAACGACATCAATAACATTCTGTTCATCATAATCTCTCTCGACAGCGCAGCACCAACGTACCACAAGGTCGGCGATGCGACAGGAGACTGAGTGTCGACGATGCTGTGTTGAAAGGAATGTACAAATACATGATGTGAGGTAATGTGAGCCTTCGTCATTCGAATGCAAGCTTTCGCGCAAGACGTTTCCTCTCTTCGATCTCCTTCGCATCGAGCGGTCGTTTCTTGCCATTGACGTCGCTCTGCCCTTGAGATTGCTGCTTTTCACGTGCTTCGTTCTTCTCCTTGCTATCTGACAGCAGTGGGTGTGCTGCTGGATCGTTGGGATCCAGTGCTTTGGTCGGATGTCTTGGTAGCTGCCTGAACGGTGTCGGTGGCGGACTCTGCTTGAAGTAAGAGTGATGCAGCGCTTGATTGGCGCTGAGTCGTTTGAGTGGATCATAGAGCAAGGTCCTTTGCAAGAAGTCGAGCGCTTCTGGGCTTGCTGCCAAAAAGAGGTCAGCTAGGTTGGATTTGGGGTGCTGCTCGAACGTTGTATAGTCCGGAAGCCGCTTGTGGCTGGGCCAATCTTTCTCTGTTGGTGTGCCAAGGGCTTTGAAAATAGTCGTCAACTGCTCGGCATCCGACTCGCCAGGCAGGTATGGGACGCGAAGCATGAGCTCGGCAAAGATGCAGCCAACACTCCACATGTCGACAGCGGAAGAGTAAGCGCGCGATCCGAGCAGCAGTTCTGGCGGTCGGTACCATCTTGTGACCACCTGGTGGGTCATGCGTGCACCAGGGTCGCCGTGTTCGCGGGCAAGACCAAAATCGGCAATCTTCAATTCGCCCTCAGGAGAGATGAGCAAGTTGTTGGGCTTCAAATCGCGATGCAGTACCCAGTTGCGATGACAGTACTCCATGCCTCGACACAGCATCGCCATCCAGCTCTTGATGTCCGCTTGGGTGAAGATCAACGCTTTGTCCTTGATTAGCGCTTCCAGATTGGTGTCCAGGAACTCGAGTACCAGATTCAGAGAGGGTGATGAGGAGCCGGAGGAGAAGACATCGACCATCTGCAGTACATTAGGACCAGAGGAAGGCGAAAGGTCAGCCACAATCGCCTTGCGCGCGATATCGAATGTGTGCAGGGCATGGCGCTCACACTGTAGCATGAAGACGTACCTTGATCACGTTGGGATGACTGAGCTCTTTCAAGAACTTGACTTCGCGTATCGCCGTGACATCCATACCGTTCTCGTTCGAGACGATCTTGATCTTCTTGATAGCTACCTTCTGTCCTGTCTTGACGTTGCGAGCGAGGAAGACGGACGCGTAGGTACCTTCACCGACCTTTTCCACCTTGGCGTATAAGTTACGGATCGCAAGATTTTGTGCTACTGCCGACTCCATGCTGGGCAGGAATGAACAGTACACCGAGGGCAGTCTGTAGGTAGGAGCGTACGAGACGGGCGGTGGGACGTCACGAGCGCCCTACTGCTGTGATGAAAGGAGTAGAGACCGAAATAATATCTGAAGTGAAAGCTGCGGAAGATGCAGGGTTCAGTCATGTCAAGGATGTGGAGCGGAAATGAACGCAACGTCGACCGAGTCCCGAAGTCGGTCAATTTCAGGAGAAGTTCTCACTGTGCGACTGTTAACGGTGTAACAGCTCAAATTCGGGAATTTTGAAGCCTGAGTGCTCAGCTGTCAAATTACAGCAAATTCGATCATACACCGGGCATCTATCTTCCCCTCCTCGGGTATCGACTAGCCGGTATTCCGGAGCCTATCGCGATAATCGGGCCTGACGTATGCCGATACGTCGTCCAGGCCTCGACAACATGATATGGATCCGAGTGAGCGAAGGTGGCGGAGGTGTGAGATCGAACTAGAGCTCACATACTTTCACTGTTGTGGAGTGAACAAAAAACCGTGTTTTCACAATACCGCCTCCTGACCCGCATTTTTAAAAACGAGGTTTTTCTTTTTTTTCTTTCACTTGGCACAGCTTATGTAAGCTTTTGCGTTTTTTTGGCTCCCACTAGGCTGACAGGTCCATCTGAATTAGATAAGCACAACCATTATCTAAGCACCAAAAAATGCATTTAACATGGCTACCTTCCCACATGCACAACACCAATGCCAACAGAATAAGTTAACTACCTATAGTATATCTGAATAGTGTAAGGGGCATGCCTTCAAGGTCCTTGTGTGGCCAATCACATTACACTTGGTGCACTGGCTTGGAGCTTGACGTGGACATACTGCCTGGGCCTCAACCACTTCAAACTGACTGGGTTCCTGCTTAGTACTTGACCTTGGGAGTATGCTCTGAGCTCGAATTGGCTCAATGCATTGGCAAGGCTCAAGAAGCAACTGTGGTGACCCATTCCACCTCAAATGCCAGTGTGGGTGGAAATGGCTGAGTAGAAGAGCCTTGCCTCGATGAGCATCTAATGTGTGTAAGCATGGGAGCCCATAGACTTGAGAGAAAGTGCCTGTACAAATTGGAGATGGAGGGGGATCACTCTTTGCCAGTAACTTCTGTTGCTCCTCAACCTTCCTTAATGCCTCATGAGATACCCATCCTTGTACAACTCCATATAGAGTCCCTGAAAGCTCAAGAGGCATTTGGATCTGTTGTTTCGCCTGTATTGACTGTAACTTGGAGAGTTGGTTGAGGAGGGTGTTGTCAGGGGTCTCGCGCCTGAAACCCAGGTCGGTCTGTCGAGATACTCGGCGACTATCAAACTGTGCGACAGCTATTGTCTTGAGATACTCGGTGACTATCAAGTTGTGCAGTGACAGCAGGTGGCGTTTGTTGTATATACTATCGTAGGTTTCGGCTGACCTCTGTGGACACTCCGTTCAGGGGTAGCTCGGCACGATCAATATCAATGTTATGATGACACCAAGGTCTGGTGTGAGTGTTGATGATGATGAGGTTGATGGTGTTAGTGATGAGATTGGTGATGTCGGTGATAATGAGGTTGATGGTGTTGGTGATAAGGTTGGTGGTGTCAACACGAGTGTCCAGTGTGTTGACTTGATGCTTGAAGTGATCCCCGGACTGCAGTGGACTACTGCCTTCGGTTCTATCTATATCCGGACCGCTAACCTGCTATGGGCGCCTTCGGACGTCAGGTAGTGGTGATACAACACACACACTACGATGAGGAGCAACCTTGATAGATTGCTGCTATGCTGACTGAAACTAATGTATACTTATGCTGAAGTGATAACTAGTTATGGTGAGTAGAGTGGATGAGGATCCACTCGACCTATTGATGAGAAAGCATGGTTATATACCTCTTCTCAGCATCGCCAGCGATGCTGCTCCTGCTCTCTCTCCAGAGAGTACCTTCTTCATCGAGTACTGCTCAGGGGCCTCTCCTGCTTGGCACCCCTGTGCCTCTTGAGCTGTGTCGACTCCTTCGACACTGCTCCTCCTCCTCATGACCTAGTGTCGACTCCTTCGACACTGCTCCTCCTCCTTTGATCAGTGACAGTTCCTTTGGCTCTTGTCTCTCGAGCCCCTGAGTGGTAACCATCTGCATGCTCCTTGAGCTTGGTCCTCTTCGTGGCTGTGCCTGCTCCTTGAGCTTGGTCCTCCTCGTGGCTGTGCCTGCTCCTTGAGCTTGGTCCTCCTCGTGGCTGTGCTTGGCCCTCCTTTGCATGTGAGTCCATAGGAGTCCATGGTCTCCATGGAGACTGCACTACGACCATGCTCTCTACTGGTGTCGACTAGGTCTTCGATACCTGTGCTCCTTCCATATGAACCCATGACCCTCCTGCTTCTTGAGCATCCAGGCCCATGACACTACCCCCCTCTTAAGAGCCGAGCTCCGTCGAGGCATGCTCTGGTCTGGTTCATGCTGACTCCTCCTCCTTGACAACATCGCCAACATCATCCTTCCTCCTTCTCTCAACGTCATCCTCCTTCCTCTTCCTCTCTCTACTCCTCCTGTTCTCTCCTCCTCTCTCCACTCTGTCTACTCACTCGTCCCCCCTCCGACACCTCATACTCCTGGATGAGGTCGGGACAGTTGAGGTTCTCTACTGGTTCCCATGAAGCAGCTTCCTCTGAGTACCCTCTCCACAACACCTTGTACTCCGTAGTCCCATTGTGTGAACGCTTGTCGATGAGTGCTTCGACTTCGAAGTCGAGGTCCTCATCTGGAAGTGATGGTATGGTGGGCTGTTCAGCACATTGAGGAAGAGAACTTGTTCTTGCTGGCTCGAGCATGGAGACATGGAACACATCATGCACCCTAAGGTTTGCTGGCAATGTGATTCGATAAGCTCGGCGTCCTACCCGTTCCTGAACTGGGTAGGGTCCTGCAAACCGGGTGTCTAACTTGGGTGTGGGTCTCCTTGTCTTCCAGTTTCGTCGGTTGATATAGACCATATCACCCACCTTAAACTCGATGTCCTTGTGCTTCCTGTTATACTGGTTTACTGATCTACGTTGTGCCTCTCTGATCTGCTCCTGGAGGTACTTGCAACGCTCCTTTCCATCCATGAGGTACTCGAAGCGACCTGGATCATTGACTCCTAGTCGTTGAGGGATGTCAGGATGAGCTTTGGGGTTCCATCCATAGCATGCAAAGAATGGTGAGACACCAATGCTGTTGTGGACCGTGTTGTTGTATACAAAGGCCACAGTGTCCAGCAGGTTGGCCCAGTCATTCTGCTCATAGTTGCAATACATCCTGAGATATTGCTCTATGACCTGATTGACTCTCTCTGTCTGACCATCAGTTTGAGGATGGTAGGCCGTGCTAAGTGAGTGCTTCACACCCATTTGCTCTGCAAATGCCTTCCATGCTCCTGATATGAACTGCCTGCCTCGGTCCGAGACCATGTGATCTGGATATCCGAAGAGTCTAACCATGTGTCCATATAGCAATACTGCAGTCTGTTTGGCTGTGACTGTCTTATGGGTTGGAGCTAGTATGGCAAACTTGGTTAACCTGTCGACGATGACTAGGATAGAGTCATAGGTCTTGGAGTCATACTTCTTTGATGGTGGTAGTCCTTCAATGAAGTCGAGGGATATGGAGCCCCAGGGCCTGTCTGGGGTTGCTAGTGGCTGTAGCAAACCATATGGACGATGACGAGGAGCTTTGTACCTAGCACATACAGGACAACTTGCTACATAGTCTGCAATCCAAGCTGTCATGTTTGGCCACCAGTAATGTCGTTGAGCTGCCTTGATGGTAGCATCTCTTCCTACGTGTCCAGCAGTGATACCATCATGGCATTGGGTCATCACCATGAATCGCAGATGCTCTACAGAGAGAGACTGTCCATCTACCTCTTTGGCACTCCTTGAGTGTCGGTTGTTGGTCCTCCCTGGCATGATCACCTTGGGGATAACCAACCTTCCTCCACTGTACCATAGGTCATCCTTGAGTTCGAAAGGCTTCTTCCTATGTATCTCCTGTAGCTCTTGGTCTAAAGGCTGGAAGATCTTGACCAGGTCTTTGAGACCTTTTGATGCTATGGACTCCATCGAGATCATGGGGGCCACTAGGAGCGAGTCATGGTCTGCTGTCTCCTTGAACACTCGAGGAGGCAGTAGTTGCCTCACATTGTGATCCTGCTCTTCACCAGCTGGTTGCATGTCTGTCCTTCTGGTGAGAGCATCGGGTTCACCACCTTTGTCTCCTGGTCGATACTGCAATATGAAGTCGAAGTCTGCTAGTAGTATTGCCCATCGAGCTTGTCGACCTGTGATGCGTCTCTGTGACTTGAAGTACTTGAGGGCTTCATGGTCAGTGAGGATGACCAGTTGGTTCGGTAGTCCAGCTAACATGTGTCGCCACTGAGTGAGGCAGGCGACCACAGCTAGGAGCTCCTTATCATGGATCTCATAGTTCTTCTCAGCAGAAGACATCTTCCTAGAGTAGAAGGCCACTGGATGCCATCGTCCTTCATGCTCCTGCTTGAGTACTCCTGCTATAGCAAAGTCACTTGCATCAGTCTCCAACCTTGTTGGAAGGTGGTAGTCGAAGTGCTGAAGCACTCCTGCTGATGTGAAGGCCTGGATGAGCTTGTGGAAGGCCTGTTGGGCCTCCTCTGGTAGCTCGAACTTCTTGAACCGTTCTATAGGCTTTACCAGTGCTGTCAAGGGCTTGGCTATGCGAGCAAAGTGGGCTATGAACCTTCGATAGAAGTTGGCAAAACCCAGGAACCTCTGGATGTCATGGATTGACTCTGGCATTGGCCACTCCTTGACAGTGCGCACCTTTTCTGGGTCCATCTCTATGCCCGTTGGCTTGATGATGTACCCCAGGAACTCAACTGTCTTGGTGTGGAACTCACACTTTGACAGCTTAGCAAAGAGCCTGTTGCTCCTTAAGCGAGTGAGGACCTCAGTGACATGCTTCACATGTGCTTCTTCAGTG